TAGTAATGATCGTTATTTGGATATAACAATTTTATGAATTTATTTTAAGTACTTATGGTGTTCACTTGTCATGGACAAAATATCGAAGAATAAGTAACATATTGACGTAGTTTTGTTTAGAACGTAAAAGAAGATTTATTAGATGTGATGTTTTTTGTTTGTAATAATTATGTTTCTTATGTTATGTTAATAATTCAATAAATGATTTGTATAATGATCATTATTAAAATGATTGATGTTAGATAATCAATATCATAAATCTTCGTTCGAATGAGTTCTCATTTATATAGCTAAAGTGAGCAATAGATGTGAGTTGATTACAGAGTCCTTAATTCCAGGTCGATACCTACCTGTAAGATACATTAATAATGTTGTTACAGGGTGATCCAAAAGTTCCCGGAACTACCTTCGATTTTTTCTGTTAGACTCAATAAAGGATCTTTTTTTGTCATATTTGAATACTATCAGGACTGACCTATTAACTGACGAGATTAGACACTTATTGTTTGCTTCTGCCAATTGGCAGAAGCAAACGATCAGTGTCTAAGGGTGTGGGTGTGGGGTGGGTGTGGGTGGGTGTGAGTGTGGTGGGTGTGGTGGGTGTGGGTGTTGTCTTCTTTCCGTTGCCATACACACCCACAGCCACATCCATCCCACACCCACACCCACACCCCTCCCACATCCACATCCAATCCGCCGTATTCGGGCGTCTCTCATTACCGTAATGCTCGTCCTGGGTTAGTTAAAACAGCTGCACCATTGGACAAAACTCTTTCTCCTCTGTATGGTTTATGTTATGATAAGTTGTAACGATATTATTACCGAATAGATACATAGCATGAGAGTTTTACTTCAGCATGATTCCTACATTATATTAGAATAAAAATCTTGTCATATCTTTCCTCGATAATAAATTTTATGCAAAGCATGATAAAATAGAAAGAAAGCGGAGCACAACTTTTCTTCGAGAGTATAAATTTCACTGTTCGTAAAGCAGGAGAAATTTAGGCATAAGAAATGATAAATAGTCTCTAGAACCATTATTCGACCGAAAAGTGAGTGGATATTAAACAGTGAAATGTTTTGAAGAAATTCGATGCACTATTTCTTCAAAAACATCAATCTAGTCTACATTTTAGCGAATAGTTACGAATAATCATTTTCGTCTACCTCTGCTTGATTGGCCAAGTTTTTCAGTAGAACCACTAGGCTTAATAATTTTAATCTGGTGAGCATCCAAAGTCTCTTCAGTTACCTCTTGGTATCGTCACTAATAGGTAGTGCTAAAGACTCAGTTGCAGCTAACTTTAGTATTAAACATCCAAATGAGCGAACAATTTGGATTTCGTGGCTTTAAATTATAATTTTTCCAAAGTTCATAAACAAGACAAACAATCAAATTCTGATGAGTGTGGGTGTGGGTGTGGAAGTGTCAAATTCATCAAAATACACACCCACACCCCCATTTCCACCCCACATCCACATCCACACCTACACCCATACCCACACCCACACCCTCACTTCCACCCCACACCCACACACCCACACCCACCCACACCCACACCCACACACACCCACACCTACACCCACCCACCCACGCCCACGACAGAAGGCCACCCTTGGTTTTCTTGAGTTTCTCAAAGCCGGCTTTGAACAATCCTTGTCCTTGGTAAAGAACAAAGGCCGCATTGTCTGTTTTTCTAAACTGTTGTTTGTTCAATTGATCGAGTTGGCAATGAAGATCTCGAATAAAAAAGCTCATTTTCTTCATTGTTGGAGTATTCAATGCTCGAAGTGACCAATTAAGTGTTTGGTAGATGAAACGCGCATGAATGTACCAGGAAATTGACTTCTCTGGAGTGTAGTCCTTCTCGAACTCTGTAATGGTATTTAATGTTGTCTTGTTGTCGTTATATGTGCTACGCCAGGATTGAATAAACTCTTTGATTTCTTCTTTATCGTGATCGATTTCAAGAACAATTTCCTTAAACAATTGTATGTACATAAATGACGGTTCTAGTTGATCTGGATTTATTTTTGAACCATCTTGGTTGATGCTAACAAAACTCATAGAGATATCGTTTTGGTAACATTGTTTGATGGCATCTTGCAGCGCTTTACAGAGACGCTTGATATCTGTGTAGATGCCTTTAATTTTGTTCAAATTCTTGTCCCAACCGTTGATTAGAGCTTCTCTGCAGCAGAAGATGTAAACACTCTCGAGAAGAGGAATATCATGGACGATAGGTATCATATCTTGATCTTTAGCATTTGACAGGATGAGGAATACCTTTTGGTCATTGATGTCAATGAGAAAATCTACACCTTCATCGGATTGGGTGAAAATATACACCTCATCGGCCACGTTTTGAAAGTGAGTAAATGTTGTTTTACATGTGTCACTGTTTGGGTCAATGGTCTTATCGATTCAAATAATCATATAACTTTTAGTAATGCCTTGCGTTGATTCCATGACGCTCGATAATTGTGTCGCATTTGTTGTGGTACCCATTTCGGCTGTAGAAAGTGTTTCATTTGACCTTGGCCTACTCATTTTGAATTTATGTGTCGCCTGATACCAAACCCAGGATGGAGAGAGTTTCTTTTTTGAATTCAGACAGAAATAATTTTTTACTATTGATGCAGCAAGGATGTTTTTTCCTGCAATTTTTACGACGCCAAATGTGCTTTTTGTGACATTGAATAGCAAATTTTAGGTAGTCGCAGATGAAAATTGAGTTGAAAAGAAGAAACAAAAACAGAAAGAGATTCAATGTCGTATTGCATTGCATTCCTACTTTTCAACGATTTAAAAACAACCATTTTTCTACCTGGTAGAAACGAAAAAAAACACTACCATCCGTTCATTCTTTGTTTTCATCTTTCTAAAGACCTTCTGATAATTCGAACGAAAAAAAACACATAGACAGTCAATTTTAAACGAAATCACAACTGAAAACTGAATTTTCTTCTTATCCAATATGCCACGCATCATTAAGCAACAACTTATCTAATCAAGTAGCGATTTTCTTCCTGTCCATTTCTATAGTTCTCGATTTAAAGGTGGGAAGAGGAGAAATGAATGAGATAGACTAACCGTCTTTCATCTTTTGAACGTGCTCTCAACGAATGCAGACACGCATGAAGTGGCTCGAATCCGTAGAATTCAGGCTAGTTTCGTGTGTCCACATACAAAACGCATCTGATCTTCGTTTCCAGTTGAGCTTTAACTTTTTTGTTGCACTCAGAAACGATGTCCCAGCGGGCTGATAATTTGCTTAACAATTTCGAAGAAAGAATTTACGAATTCCTTTCAATCACTGAATACGAGTCCAATTGTGCACTTATTGAGGGTGTGGGTGGGAGTGTTTATCTTCATTTAAAAATACTAACACCCAGCCACACCCACACCTCAAGATTTCCTTGAAACAGAATCAGATGGCAAAGGAAACAAAATAAATCCTGTCATGATGTCGTGCCAGTAAGAAAGATAATCGTAAAAATCCATTGTTGGCAGCATACAAAATCGGTCGACTACGAGAAAGAAAAAAAATGATCTGTTTGTTTACATTTGTTTTTCTACCTATTTTGTCTTTCATTCTATCGAATACTCTATACGCCAACTCAACGACCATCATGCATTTTTCCAGCTGTATATTTCCTATGAGTAATCATGACTCTTCCCCGAAATTTCACAAGGTGACACGTTGATGACGCTTCGTCCGATATTGTTCTGTTTCGCTGTAGAATGTTCTTGTTTCTTCTATTATCCTGTTTTTCTTCCGTTCTGTTGTTTGGTAATGTGTGCTCATAACACGTTTTGAGTCAGGTATATAAGGAATACGATTTCAGTCACTTTCTATTGTAATTCTTCATTTTCTACCAATATTCATTGCATTTCAACAGCAACTGCAAATACAAATGGCACGAGCTATTGGTATCGATTTAGGCACTACATATTCATGTGTCGGCATCTTTCAGCATGGCAAAGTCGAAATTATTGCTAATGATCAAGGTAATCGAACAACGCCGTCTTTTGTTGCATTCACGGATAGTGAACGTCTTATTGGCGAGGCCGCAAAGAGTCAAGTGGCTATGAACCCAAATAATACAGTGTTCGATGCAAAACGACTTATAGGTCGCAAATTTGACGATGCAACAGTTCAATCCGATATGAAACATTGGCCTTTCAAAATCATCAACGATAGTGGCAAACCAAAGATTCAAGTTGAATATAAAAGTGAAACAAAAACATTTACACCAGAAGAAATCTCATCGATGGTCCTGACTAAAATGAAAGAAGTCGCTGAAGCCTATCTCGGCAAAAAAATTTCTGAAGCTGTCGTCACTGTTCCAGCTTACTTCAATGATGCACAACGACAAGCAACGAAAGATGCCGGTGTCATTGCCGGTCTCAATGTGCTAAGAATCATCAACGAGCCGACGGCGGCTGCTATTGCCTATGGCTTAGATAAACAAACAGCAGGTGAAAAGAACATTCTTATTTTCGATTTGGGTGGTGGCACTTTCGATGTGTCTGTACTCAAGATCGAAGAAGGCATTTTCGAAGTCAAATCGACGGCTGGAGATACACATTTGGGTGGTCAAGATTTTGACAATCGAATGGTAACACATTTCGTTCAAGACTTCAAACGCAAGAACAACAAAGATCTGTCACAAAACAAGCGTGCTCTTCGTCGGCTGAGCACAGCTTGTGAACGTGCAAAACGCACACTCTCAGCAGCAGCACAAGCAACGATCGAAATCGATTCACTCCATGAAGGTATTGATTTCAATGCGACGATCACTCGTGCTCGTTTCGAAGAACTTAATGCCGATCTTTTCCGATCGACACTCGAACCAGTCGAAAAAGCTTTGCGTGATGCTAAAATGGACAAATCAAACATTCATGAAATTGTTCTTGTTGGTGGCTCGAGTCGTATTCCTAAAGTACAAAAATTACTTCAAGACTTCTTCAATGGAAAAGAGTTGAACAAAGCCATTAATCCAGATGAAGCTGTTGCGTACGGTGCTGCCGTTCAAGCGGCTATTCTTACCGGTGATACATCGGAAGAAGTCAAATCTGTGCTCTTGATTGATGTCGCACCACTCTCATTGGGTATTGAAACTGCTGGTGGTGTCATGACTCCGATAATCAAACGTAGTACGACTATTCCAACGAAACAAACTCAAACATTCACTACGTATTCAGATAATCAACCTGGTGTTGATATCAAAGTATATGAAGGTGAACGAGCGATGACGAAAGACAACCATCTTCTAGGAAACTTTGAACTTTCTGGAATTCCACCTGCACCGCGTGGTGTTCCACAAATCGAAGTCACTTTCGATATTGATGCTAATGGTATTCTCAATGTATCGGCTGTAGACAAATCGACAGGTCATAGAAACACAATTAAAATTACAAACGACAAAGGTCGCTTGTCACAAGATGAAATCAACCGAATGGTTTCCGATGCAAAGAAGTACGAGAAAGAAGATGAAGCACAACGTGATCGTATTTCAGCTAAGAATTCACTTGAATCCTATTGCTTTAATATGAAGGCAACTTTGAATGATGATAAAGTAAGTGCGAAGATCTCATCCGACGACAAGTCAACAATAACTGAAACAATCAACACAACAGTCAAATGGATGGAATCTAATAATTTGGCCGATAAAGAAGAATTTGAACACAAATTAAAAGAGGTCGAGAAAGTGTGCTCTCCAATTATTTCCAAACTTTACGGTAGTGAAGCACATGGGCATGATGCTGGATCTAAATCAAGTGGCAACAAGGGACCCACCATCGAAGAAGTTGATTAAATGCCGTAGAGTCGATCGTTCACCAACAAGCAGATATATACAAAGTCTTCGCGTCAGATGCATCTGCACACTAATGATAGCGAAAAAACTATTTTCAATGTCATCTATGTAATCTGCTTCTCTTTTCTTTTCTGTTTTTTTTGGTGTGCATCTTATTTTTTCTTTTAATAATAAATCTTCATCGTTGACTCAATCTTTTATAGTGAACGCTCTCGTAGAGCAGCAAGAAATTATACACAATTGGCAATTAGACTATACGCAAAAAAATGCACATTCACAACCTGGTCTACTCGACCAGTCATTGCCATATGAGGATTTTCGCATGACGTACATGTATACGAGGTACTTGACCATCGCGCCGTTCGGCTCCGAGTTGAAAGAAGACCAAAAGTCGATTCACGATGTTGACCAATAACGGACTGTTTCTGAGAATCTTCCTCCAATCAGGCAAGAAATTTGCATGTCAGTTTTCATTTCCATTATCTTACGAAAAAACAAGTCGCATTGAGTGTGTATTAATTTCAATAAATCGAGTTGCGTATACTGAAAAACATTCGCGCCCAAATAGGTAATTTTGAGTATCCGGACTCATACAAAAAGAATATATAGTGTGCAACTTGCATAGTAGCTACCGAACGAGTATTGAGCGGTCTTAATTCACTAGTATACAACTCTATATGTTGATATGCAACAGGTGATCGAAAATTACTTTGACCAAATTTTGAAGGCTGAAAAATATTTGCAAAAGCCATAGGAATAGGCTTCTTTTGATATGTCTGGTATACGACAATTAGTCACAGGGTACAATTGGTCGCAATGTTGAAAAATAAAATTGACAAAATGTATTATTAGTATCACAAATATATAAAAGAGAAAGATCCAGAAAGTAACTAACAGCTTATTAAACGGCATGGGCATCAAATATGAGTACTAATAGGAAGGCTTAGTAAGTTGTTACAGTGGTACACAAAATGTTACACCAGACCAAGTAGTAGCTCCTTTGAATTTTTTGTATAACCCACACATTTTTTTCTTATTCTGAGGATTCTATCCGCTAAAGTTTTTTCTATTTCATAATGGATATAGTTTTCGACTTTTCGTCACATTTCGATAAATCCAAAATGTGGATGTAAACATACAATTACTCCTAATTTATATAATCATTTACTTGTTCATTCCATATGGCATATCATCATTTCTCACATGCCACCCTTACCCTCATTATTCTTCAGTACCCAAACAGACAAGAATTTAGAAAAACACGTTCAATCGCACAAAAAAGATGAAAAATCGAGAAAAGTGGACGTGTTTGGATGACAATCAGGGTTCCCGATTATGAGCGAAAAAAGACCACTGTTTCTCTTTTTTATGCATTTACATGTATTTTTCGGCTGATAACCCGATTAAACGCACAAGAAGAGCAAAAAAAGGACTTTTCCGCTCACAATCGGGAATGCCAATTATCATCCAAACATGCTCACTCTTTCTTGATCTGGCGTCTCTTTTTCGGTGCTTAAACGCGTTTTTGTAAAACTTTGTCTGCTTGAGTAGCAAATGTTCTCAGGTCAATGCTGGCGCCTATTCTGTCATTACTGTTGAAAAAGATTTCACAGGATTCCAAAATGTTTTCTCGGACTACTCATGAGAATAATCTTTCAAATAGGTAGGCGGACACATGCTAAGCATCATCCGAAATAAAAGTAAATGGTAAAATGGACGAAGTGAAAACCAAGTAGATATTCCAGGTCGAAAAAAGGATCCGTAAACGGCCTGAAATGGTATTAAAACGATACAAAGCATTAAAAAACGGCGCCGTTCTCCATCAGCTCGAAAAATGAAGAGAATAGTGTTAAAAACGATGGCCTTTTTCTAGCATAAAAAAATTGGCCCGTAAAACGAGCTGATGGATTAGGCCAAAATAGTGTGAAAATCAATGCAGGTTTATGTCGTTTTATAGCCTTTTCAAGCCGTCCCCAATGGCCTTTCAGACGGCCGGAATGATCCTCCTGGGATGAAGGTAAATATCGTATAGATAAAATAGATAACAAAAAGCAGCTTCGATGATGAACGTAATATGACGATGCGATAAAAAATGATATGTCGAATATTCGTATTTTTTATACGAATATGCATTGAATTGACGCATGCCTCTGCTCATGATTTGCGACCGATATTCATTCACTTGGCATTGAAATAAACAAAATTCGTCTAATATCTGACACGATGCAGGAAAGTTTATCCACACTGTACTCTCGTGACACAAAAATATTTTTTTGCCACTTTCTAACCGAAATCACCATGTGTTGTGAAGTGTCTACAGGCGAATGAACTAGGTGAAAATAATTGGTTCCGGTCTCAAATGTAAGGTCTCGTTTAATTGCAACTATTCTAATAAAAGAAAACTTTGTTGAAAAATTTTCAATCGAATCTATGCTGTCGATTTCATAAAATTGATAAGTTTACCAAGCAATTTCGTAGATTTCGATTGACACCCTATTAGGATATTTCGAATTCACCAAGACCTTTCATTTGACAAGAAAGTCAAGACTCTATGCCAATTGACTTTCACCAAGTGAAAAATTCGAAACATAACATTCATGTCAAATTCCTTTGAAAATAGAGAAATACTTGGGCAGTTCCTTTCCAACTCCGTGCCTTAGGCTCTCTCTCTCATTCTTCAACGAACACATAAGTACTGATATCACAACAGCCAATAAGTAACGTGAATCGAAAATCGATTCCTGGGCCCGTAGACCGATAAAACACACATGCAGACATGTGAACAGCGTGTGGGTGTGAGTGTGAGTATACATCTTAGCCCCACACCCACACCCTTTTTAAAATGCCTTCTCGCGAAAATTACTCGGATTGATTTATGAAATTTTAGAAAAACGAAAAACAAAAAAAAAAGATTTTTCTATCAGTGAAAGAACCTATTCAACGAATAGATTCATCATAACTTAGTTTTATTTCGACTATAGTGAAGGCAGTCGGGGGCAAGTTCAAATATGTGAATATCTTTTATAGAATTGAATATAGATTTAAGTATTAATTTTTTTTTTGCTCTTAAATATACTCATGATAATAGCAGATATATACACGTACATCAACACCAACAACGATTCTCTCTGAAAATAGTTTTGCAGAAAAAAGAAAATTCTGCAACAAAATTGAATTTTGATTTCATTTTTCTTTGCGTTTATTTATCGGTTTTTGTTTTTGAAATTTAAACAAATCTTTATATTTCTATGTTCGTCATATATATTTATCGATAAATCCAACAAAATAGAAAAAAGATAATTTTGTCCCAACACAAAATGTTCTTGTTGCAAAAATCAGTCTTTAGAAATAGTAATTCTTTTTTTTTTCATTCTCGCTTCGATGTCTTGTATATGCAAAATGAAAACGCTTAATTTTAATTTAACATCATCTTATATATGATGTATTAAATCACGTCATTTTTTGATACTAAAATGATTTAGACGATAAAAGAAATTTCGCTAAAACCAAAAGAAAAAGCACAAATTTTTCTCATATGATAGTTTAAAATGAGAGAGTATTCAAGTTTGAAAGCATTATTGTTGTTCGTTTTTGACGATAAATAGATCATAAAAATAAAAAAGAAATTTCACAAATATTAATAGAAACAATCATAAAAGTTTTTAGAAAACAATATAAATAATTACTTCAATGGAATGTGACTTTCGCTCAGGGCGGCAACGATATTCATACCAAATATTCTTGTTAAATGAATTTTTTTTTTATTACAATCTCGTACTATCAAATGTTAGTGAACGTCAAAAAGTAGACTTAAATCTTACAAATCATACGTCTTTCATTACAATGAATATTGTTAGAAATCTCCAGATTAAATATCGATCGATGATGAACCGATAAATTTCTAATGTTAAAATATGTAATTTTCTCGATTACATTTATCATTTCTAGGAGAACTATACGACTATTCTAATAATGTAGGAAACTGTGGATGTGGGTGTAAGGCTCTGCACTTTGCATAAACAACCACACCCTACTAGAAAGATAGAAGTTACACGAAGAGAAAATGGTGACCGAGCTACGACACATCCATAGTAGCTCATGAGAATCATGATATATGTAAAAATCAGTATCTACTTTCTGCTAGAGCCCTGCGGTTTCAGAAAAAATGGAATCGGACCCGTTAGAATCGAACATTTTTAAAGATTATTTGCTTCATCTATGTTTCTTCATTCTTCTATGATTTCTGAAGAAACCAACTTTTTCCCCATTCAATACATAGAATCCTGCTTCGAAAGCAAAATACTGAATAAATAACTTATTCACTTGTTAGTTTAGTACTTTTTGTTTGAAATTTCGTGTATCAATATCAGGAATATGTGAAAACACATCGTGCTCAATTTAGCAGTGTAATCTATAACTTCAAAAGAAGTTGAAGACGATAATATTTTGTGTGATGATAATCATAAAAAAGACACAAAATGATGATATCAATTTATTTTAGAGTCCTTTTCTAGAATAACCAGTTGCATGTAAATATTTCATATTGAAACGATTCCTCTAAGTTCTCTTGCATGCAGATTTTGAAGACATTGCCTTTAAAATATATATGAATGAATGATTTCGATAAAAGAAAATAGAGAATTTTTTTTAGATCTAATATTAGTTGCTTGGTGTTCAATATAAGATAAACGGTTCCGGCTTCGGGTATGTTTTGGAACCAAAGAGCTCTACTTTCTTGCTAACATAACTACGAGAAAAGTTCTAAATGCACCAATCAGTTTGAGTACACGTAGATAAGATAATCAAAAAAGAATCGAAAACTAGTCTGCAGAAAAAGCGATTGACTGAAGCCGTAACGTATAACAATAGGTACAATGTTTTCCATGCTGATCAAGCGTTGTCTTGTAATATTTATGGTCATCAAATGACTTATATTGACACAAAAGCTGAAATCGAATGAAAAAAGAAAAGTACTCGATCAAACTTGTAGTCAATCTATTGCATCAAATCTGCTTAATAACAATGCCGAAATGCTTGAACAATTAGAGTTGGATGTGATTCTGGGTGAAATGAGCAATCACTCTGACATAACACCACCATGAAACTGAAGGTCTTTAATATTGTGACTAAGTTGAATAAGATAAAAAATAATGCGACCATTCTTCCTAAAATGAACATCATAATTGTACACACTGAGTTATCGAACGTGTTAATGAAAAACTCACAAGAAATTCTTTTTTCCATTTATATACCGATGCATTAAGAAAAAGACAATATGGGTATCACTGTCAGAACTTTGTTCTCACGTATTGACTATTTTTTAAAACATGATTAGACAAGTCTAAAGTCTTATTTGAACATATTTCTTCAGAAATTGCTATAAAAATTGGTTGTATTAAGATAAGAAAGTTTTCAACTAATTTCTATTTGAGTCATTTCTTTTACATCCCATATTGATTATGCATATAATATCTTTTTCTTTCACTTCTTCCTTTTGTGTAAATATCATGACTCTGAAAAGTCTTACTTCAACAAAAAGCGATTGAATTTGCTATTATAACTTTGGCTATATCCAATTTTTAATAGTTTACTAATACTTATTTTGAAGTCACCTGGAAAACTAATAATTTGTGTTACTGTATCTTTAGAAAAAAGCAATTACGTTCTCGAATGTGAAATACCCATTTGCTCAAAAATAAGGCTTATTGCAATGTTATGCAACTTATCAGAATCTTATTTCTTTTGATTCATATAAAGTTTGAAACTTGTGCAATTTTCTTCGATAATGAATCATTGTCAACGACGTGTCAAATTGAGAAGCTAATTCAATAAATATTTAATGTTTCGGAGTTCTAGTTATGATTTGCCATAGATGAGAAAAACCTTTAGAACACTTTTCTAAGAGCGACTACAACGTTAACACATTTTATGAGAGTCGGGATGTCGACTAATGAAGCTGTTTATTCAATGTTCTTTTATTTGCGCTTTTCTTTGTAGTTAGACTTGTGCAAGAATGTTCTTGCACAACTTCAATCATTCAACAATATAAGAGAAAGAACGAAATGAAATACTTCGACGAGCCGCGGTCGGAGATCAACTCTTGTCTTGAGCCTGAAGCAACACAACTCGGTCTCTTTGTGTCATAGCAATATGATTCAGAGAGGCCACGATCTTCGATTAAATTGACACTCGTCACGTCATTTTTTGATAGTTATGTTTTTTTTCGTTGCCAATTTCTATATAATGGCTATTTTAGCAATTGTACCATAATTTATGTTGATAAAAGAACACCTCAGATATACTGTTCAAATGTTTTGAACAGTCTAGGGTGTAAACTTAGGTGAAAAAATATCGTAATAAAACGTGAAATACTCGGAGAATCACTTGTAACAAAGTTGACTGAGCTGATTTTTAAATGATGTAAGCTAGGGTGTGGGTGTGCGTCTTCTTCGCTTATACGTAAAATTTCACGGGCTTTCATTTTAGACTCGTTGGAATGATGTCTATGGGCGTGCCAGATTTATTAACAAATCCGGCGATTTTCTTTATCTTTAATTATAGAAAAAAAAAGTAAAATGAAAAATCGGTTTATAATTGTATCTGAGAGGTATTTATCTGTAAAATATACATTGTTTTCTTTTCTAATAATTGAATTTTTTTTTTAAAGAGTGTCATTGACATTTGATTTTTGTCAATAGATTTAATTGATATTATGGAAAATTTTTTTTGAAATGTTTTGTCAAGATCATTTTTCATAGTTAAATATTGATATAAGAAATTGTATTCAATAAGATAAATCTTCAGGTTTTTCAAATTGAAAATCGTCAAAATCTAGAAATAAATACCACTAAGAGAATTGTATGGAATAACAAAACAAACGAAAACCTTTTGTTTTTTCTTTTCTATTGACAACGTTTCATTGGTTGCTTTGTGAAGGACGGAAAAAATTTCTCAGTCGATCGTTCGTTCTCTTGCGCCTTTTTCTTCTTTCTTTCTGTCCTTTTCTTACATCTAATGAAACGAGGTACACCATGTCGAGCAAGAACAAGGACAACAAACTTTTAACCACGAGGAGAATATAATAAAGTGACATTTTTTTTGTTTCTATATTTGTTGTTATTTACTTCAAAATCGAATTCTGGACTTGAATAATGGAAGATTTAAATGATGAACAACGTGCATTGATTCCTAATCCTTTAGGTGAACTAACATTACATTGTATTAATAAAGGTTTTCAATTAGGATCTACAGTAACAATGGCAACAATATTACCATATCAATTATATAAATCAAGAAAAAATCTTTCATTTATTTCAACATTAAATCGTGTTGGAACTGCAACAATATATGCTTCTATTATTGGTGCTGGCCTTAGTTTAGGTTTGATGCAGGCGAAATTATATTCAGAAAAATATAATCAATATAAAATATGGGATAGAGCATATCGTTTACGTCATTCTAAAAGTCAACAACGTGTTGATAAATATGTATTTACATATTCAATGGCTGGTGGATTAGCTGGATTGATTATTGGTTTACCAACAAAATTTCACCCATTATCAGTAATTAAAGGTGCATTCATGGCTATTCCATTAGGTATTATTACACATTTGATAAAAGGACCTACAGAAAATTAATCGAATAAAAAACTTGAAAATTAAAATCTGTTATTCATATAAATAGACTTTACTATTTAAAGATTATTTTTGTTTTGTCGTCTGTCCTCATCAATCAATAGTTTTCTTATATAAACGTAACTGTAGAATATAAGATTTATCGAAAAAGAATTTTCATTTATGACAATAAATTTGTAAGATTACTTTAAATTATTATTTTCTTTATTATTTTTTATTTCGATATTCATTTTTCTTTTATAGATCAACTGAATTACTTTATTTCCATTGAAAACTTTTTATAAAATAGATAAGAAAAAGCTAAACTACTTCGATACGATTTCATACAAATTCACAAATAGAATATTAACAAAAAAATAAATCAAGAAAATCTAAAAATTCTAATTAGCAAAATGAATTTTCATAGGCATCTTAGACAACACCGAACAAAATTGTTTATCTTGAAGAAAACAAAAAATCGTAAAAGCTATCGATTTAGCTTAAAAACTACTAATTATTATTAAAATTCATTTTATATATCCTTTCATGACTTGAATTGATTTTTCATTGAGCTGACTTTTCTTTCTCATGTTCGCTTTGGAAAAAACTTATTTCAATCGACATATATTTTCATTATTAAATAGAACACAATACTATTAACTATAATCGTCCAGAAACCATTCAATTATGTAAAAGGGTTGATTGAAAATAGGAATCTACAATATATATGTAAAGATTGTAGCATAAGTTCTGATTCCTTCCTGCAATATTGTTTTCTTAATGTTCCTAAACTCGAAGAGACTGATATTTGCAGTATATATACTATGTAGAGGGTGTAGGTGTGTGGGTATAGGTGAGTGTTGGTGTGAAGTGTGGGCATGGGTGTGAATGTTCACCTCCACCCACCACATTCACACCCAAATAAATCAACCTGTTAAAAGCACTAAATATAGAGTGCGGAAGAGTGCAAGAAAACCAATTAATAAAAATTAATGCAATTCAAGAAAGTATGTATTCAATTTAAATCATATTTTATTTTATTTTATTTTATTTTAGATGATGTCATCGACCAATCCGAAAAACATAAGTATTTATTTAATTTAAATTGTCTATTTAGTTTTATTTTAGATAATATCGACGATTAGATGAAACAAAGTAAATATTTATTCTATTTGATGCTCTTAGTGAATTTGACATTGACATTTTTTTTTCTTTACTCCAATATTCAAGTAGCTGTTCATTATTAATATACTTATACAATTAATATATATAATATATTAGATTTTAGTTTATTTACTTAATGTATTTTTTTAAATTATCTTGATATTAAATAGTCAATTCGAAATAATTGAATAGGTTTTATTATTAATATTTAAATATTATCGAACAATAAGTCAAATATAGTAATCTATTTGAAATAAAACATCATTCAAGAGGTTTAACAATAGGAATGCGATGTATATTTAGATGATAATGTCAAGTGAACGATAGATTTTTTCTAGTGTTTAAAAAAAAAAAATTTGATTTATAAATAAAAAGCATTGAAAAAGATCTTGTAATTTGTATTAATATCAATCAAAGAAAATATTTCAATATGAATGGATTAAAAAGATAAGTTTCTATATATTCTAATAATTAACTTTAATTTAATTGAATAGGCCTAAGCAAATGGATATTTGTTTGATTGTGACGAAAATGATTTAATATGTTCGATGATTAGATAATTAGAAAAATAAACAAAGTTGTTATCAACAAGAACAATATATAATAATCTATTTTCAGTTCGATTAATAAATCTTGTTTATTATTGTCGATTTGTCTAAGGAAGGTCAATAAAAAAATATCTCAAAGTCTCTCTTCAATTGGTAACGCTTGATAAAGACTACTCAATATTGTTATTTCGATATTATTATATGAAATATTTAAATCGATTCTCTTCATATGTAACTCAAAAGATTTATCGATTGTAGTGATAACTGACACTTCAATGTTTTTTTTTTTCTAAATTTTGTTAGTTTCGAGAAATTTCGACATGAAAATCGAGATAAAATGATCATAGGGAATATTATGATAATAAAATACGTAAAAATTAATAATCTATCGATAGGAGTTAAACAATATTTATCTATATTGGCATCAATTGAAATCTAGAATTAAAATGTTTTGTCTATCATAGAAGTCTGTAGAAAGATATTTAAGTGTCAATTATTTTCTTCTAAAAAGCAAAGTAACCCGAGAAAAAAAAGACAACAAAATCTTCAAATTCAATATAGTACGAGTCTTTGTTCGATATAATATCCACCAATCGATCATTTCTTTTTACTAAAAATTTCCGTTGTTTTTTTTTCTCAAAACATTTTATTGTTTTGTTTTTATCTTTTTTTGTTGAAAGTTTGTGACAGATGAAAGAAAAAAAAAAGACATGAAACAGATACAATCTTTGTTTGTTTGTTTGTTTTGATTTAAAGATAGGGAACAAAATGGACCAATAAAAAAACACACACACGCACACACACACACACACGTACATATATATATACGCTTTTCTTAAAGAATAACAACACGAAGCCAAAAAAAAAAGCAGTACAGGGAAGAAAATAGACGCCAATGTTGGAATGGTATGTGTGTATAGAATGAAACAAAAAAAAAAAGTCAACGATGATGCTGGAAAATCTCATTGACTCAGTGATAAGATGTTCTTGGAAAAGAAAAACCATCAAGAATAAACGAATGAACAAATAAAGAGAAACAAAAAAAAAATATTGTTTTTTTTTTTTTCGAAAATGGATAACATCAATCACCGAGCTTCATTGATCAGAATCATATAACAATAAATATAAATCGGTTGTTTGATTAAGATTTAATAATTTGTTTTTCGAATCATGCTCTCATGTATATTTATATATATATATATGTTTGATTAATATTTAAAAACAAAAAAAATCTTTTCTACGATGATAATGATGATGATGATGAATCTTTTGCAACATATGTAAAAAGATTATGTGCTGTTGCAATAGCAATAATATCATCTGTTGGATGATATGCACAATGAAGAATTTTTTTTGAAAATTCTAAACTATCAGGATTTATTTCATCACGACGATTCCGACGAGCTGATTGAAGCACCTTTTTAGATTTTAATATTTGTCGTGGACGTATTGCTTGTTCACGTGATGATTCATATATAGCATCTTTTTTTGTCAAACGTGATGTTATTTTAAATAAATTATGATAAGAACCAGTTAGTAAATGACTTTAATTTAAAAAAAAAAAAGAATTAATTTTTCTTTTTTTAATATAAATATATATATATTAACTTACTCATCATTGGGTGACCAACAACATTCAAATTTATCAAAAATACAATCATTTTCATATAAAACACATAATTTAGTTCGAAGATATTCATGTATTGGATATGTTTCAACTGGTTTTGTATTCATTTGTAAATCCCATACTTTAAGATTAAGAAAATCTCTTGTAAGCATATATCTGCCTGAATGACTAAATTTAATATCACTTATTGATGATATTATTTCAGAAAAGAAACTACGACTTGTTGGATCTTCAGCTTCTTCAAAAACTAATTTATTAATAGAAATAATAAATATTTTTTTTTTAATAAAACAAATAAAAATATTTGTTAAATTTTACTTTAAATAATTTACCTTTGCAATGTCGATCACAAAGTGCTGATTGTCTCATATCGCAAAGACGTATTACACCTCGGGAACTACTGTATACAAAGAGATTACATTCACGTGGATGAAATTCGGCACCAGTTATCACTTCAGTTAAATCTTCCATATTAGGTGGTTTTATATCAACTATATCTAAATTAAATTTTATCAAATTAATTAAATCAATTCTACTAATCAAAATAAAATATTCGACAAAGATATTTCAATGACTTTAAAACATTTTTATTATCTGAGTTTTAGGTTTTTCTATATATAATGGAAAGTGTCAGATTACCTGTTGCTGGATCAGGGTTAAAGAACAGATGTGAAAATTTACACGAAGAAAACAGCCGTGTAGTGTGCATGGAATCTCGCTAGTAAATCAATAAATTTAACTATTCAACTAGATTTCAATATGTTATAACATTAAATTGTCAATGAATTTTTTCTTGACTAGCAACACACACACACATAAATAAACTATTTATCGAAACCGACAACTAAAAGAACACTTAATTCGATATGAAGAGGAAACAGTTAATACTTTAATGTGAAAGTATAATGAAGTTTCTCACATCATCCGAAGTATTTAACCTATAGATTTGTAGTATCGTAATAGGCAAAAATACTCTGATAGGTTTTTATGCTCAATGAAACATAACCAAAATAATGATCTCGTCTAGAAAAAAAAAACTAGACTACATATAATAAAATAATATTGTTTACTGATCTATAATCTATATTTAATTATTATTAAATAGATAAGAAAAAAAAAATTGTTTAATTAATAATTGAGAATATCAGAAGACATTTTATTTTTATTTTAAATAAAGAATATATTATTTGATTGATCTATTTATTACTTAAATATTTTAAAAGTGTAGAAACAATTTCGAGTTTGATATGTTATTATAAATAATCTATTGTTTAAAGACTTATCAGAAGATTAATTATCTAAAACAGTTTTTCTATTCGTTTTATCTTAATTCAATAGAAGTAAAACATAATTTTTAAAATGAATTTTTATTCCTATTCATATTAAATACAATCAAATTTATTTAACCCTTTAAAAAATTCATTTTCTTTTTCGACCAAAAAAAAAATGTAATATTGACAAAGGATTAATTGAAATAAATCTAATGTTTCGTTTGATAATTATTATATTTTCTAAGATAATTTTATGTTTGTAACAGAAAAAAAAAGACATCGAATATTATTTACGCTCTGAACTATTTCATATAATTAACAAATAGAAAACGTTCGGATATGCTTATAAATTGTTCAATTGAATTCTATCGTAAATATAAACCCCCCCTCATAATAAAAGACCCCCCCATATTAGAAGACCCCCCGTTTTAGAAGACCCCTCCGGAGGAGTCACTTCATAGAAATTTCTTTTTTTCACCAGCAAAAATTTACAAAATTTACAAAAGTTCGCTGGACCATAATAGAAGACCCGGGGTCTTTTATTGTAGGGGGAGGGTTTAGTTTAAAAGATAACTAAGATTTGAAAATCGACAATAGGAAACCAATGTTAAGGTATATATGTATGTATTTAATCTATATAATAAAAGTAAACATACTAAAACTTTGATCAGTGACTTCAGTATGCCATAAATTAATACGTAAATCATCGGCAGATAAAAATGTTTCTTGATCACTATTCAATGATATTGAATTAATATGATATGTATGAGCATTACCAAAAACACGTTTAGGTGTTGCTTCAACCATTAATTCCATAGGTCTATGATAATAATAAAACATAATCAAATATATTTTAATTTAAAAATAAATAACCTAATAACAGGTATACGTAAATTTGTTAGAGAATTAGCTGAACGAGTTATTCCATTATCATCACGTAAATTATATCCTTCAGCTCGTTTTGTTTTTTCTGATATTTTCCATAATTTAACAGTTTTGTCTAATCAAAATAATAAAGAAAAACAAACAAATAATTTTAAAAAAAAAAGAAAAAAATTAAATTTATTTAACCATTGGTTGATAGAAGAAAATGTGCAGGATTTTTTCGTTTAAGCCAACGTATCTGATTTATTTTTTCTTCAATTTCCAAACTTTTTAAATAATCAAATTCAGGTTCATGAGAATGAAATGTTATATAAACATTATATTCATTACGATGTGATGATGTTTTTGTCTAAACAAACAAATAAAACAATTAGATTTATATTTACTAATTTCATTATTAATCATTTATTCAATTTATTCATCTATTCTTAGTTTTTAAATTCATCTTTACAACAAATGTCAATTCGAATGAGACAATCTACAAATATGAGTATATTCATTTTCAATATTATCATTGATTCTATCTCACTCATAGAAATATGCTAAATATATGTTTTTGACATCAACAGATTAAATATTTCATATTTAAGGATAGAAACCATAATAAAAGAGAGAGAGTCTCGTTTTAATATGTGTATTGATAAATTATTTTTGGACAATGTTCATCACAATAAGTAGGATATCGGATTATCTAAACTAGTCGAAATATGCAGTCTATCCACAGTCAAAAATACTAAACGTTCGAAGTATTTTCAGAGATATTTAGCTTTGATATAATGCATCTTATTCAGACTGAATATGAATTAATCATTGAAGATTAGAGACCTATTGAATCAACGTTTTTTATTTATTCCGAAAGCAGATTCCAATTACGTAAATTTATCTGTCGTCAAATCTGACTTCGACTCCGCCGTAATCAAAATCGGATTCAGGAGTTATTCGCAAGAGTCTAATGAGGAAATTTGGCTGGTAATATATTTATAGTATATACTAAGTGATATATATGTAAAGATGAACTTATTCAATATGTTTTCTATCTATGAATAATTCACTTATTGACAACTTTTTTTCTTATCTCTTTCTTGAATCGAACCAATCGAGTTATATCACATAAAAATTTTGATTTTTTTCAGTTAAACAAATCAATCGTTTATATTAAATTATCAAAGAAGAAACATCTATTGACATTGTACATATTGGTTAACACTGACACAATGTCGTTACATTGAGTCTGAAGAGAATACGAAAAAAAAGTTTAAAAAATCTCGAAAAAAATCTATAGAAGTTGCTGAAATGATTTCAATCAATGTAAAATATACAACAAAGAAATTCTATCTAATAATAAAAATTACTTGTTGTTCACGTTGAAAAATAACAATTCTTCCGCCTTTATCACCAACAGCAAGTAATTCTCCATCTTGATTAAATTCAATAGTTGATATTAGATCAGCTGAAATAAAAAATAAATAACTATATTGAATATATTTATTTGAACAAGATTAAACCTTCTTGAACTTCATCATCAACAGGTCCTTTTACTTGCGATGGATACCATTCAAGTAGATCATCATCATTTATATCACCTTAAATTTATAATTGATTTTGTTTTTTTTTTTTTTTATTTCTCAATAATAAATTTTAAACAAACTTGGCATGTCGACATCAATTGGATAAGCCAGTTTGCAAATTTAAATAAATAACAGTAAATAATAGAATTCTAATGACTTATTCTAGGATTATTCTTTTATATAAAGAAATATAATCATTGGAATGAATAGATAGATATTAACATAACCTATCACATCAATATTTAGTCGAAAATACGTTTAAGAACTAGACAATAAAATAATACGAGCTAACAGAAAAGAGAGAGAGAGACCAAGAAAAAGAAATAAACAATATTTTCCTTGTTCTTGACATTAAAATCGTTTGATTGGTTTAGAAAAAAGACCAATAAATAATTATCTTCTAAAACATTTTAATGCAATGATGCATTTTCATCAAGTATTTTCGTCGAGGTTTCATGTTTATAACAATGATCATCATTAAGATTTACTCATTTTTAGTTTATTTTTTTTTTGCTTCACTTATTCAAGAGAAGGAAACCTTTTCTAAATAAATTTTAATTTATATTTATTGATTTTAGACACTTAAATAACTACACAGTGAAATTGAATAATTAAAAAAAAATGCGTTACGCAGCAGCTTATGTTCTTGCCACACTTGCTGGTAATACAAATCCTGATGTATCAACAATTTCAAAAATTCTTGGAAGCGTTGGAATCGATTGTGATAATACAAAAGCACAAAAAGTAATCGATGCATGTAAAGGAAAAAATATTGATCAAATTATTGAAGAAGGTACCAAGAAATTATCGAGTTTACCAGCTGGAGGTGCATCTGTTGCATCAACTGGTGGAGCTGCAGCTGCAACACCAACAGCAGCAGCAGCAAATGCTGGCAAAGGTGCTGCTAAAGAAGAACCAAAGAAAGAAGAAAAGAAGAAAGAAGAATCCGATGAAGAAGGAGATGATATGGTTTGTTCAATTAAATTATTTTAAATTCAATTTATTTATTATTTTTATTTTTATTTAGGGTTTTGGTTTATTCGATTAAGTCAATTAATACAACAAATAAATCACACATTATCATCATCATCATTCGTACTTGTTACGATGGATTTTTCTCTTTGTGTGTGTATCTTTTCTATTGATAACATAAAAAAAAGAAACAAGAAAATAATCAACCGTTAACATGAATAACTAAAACAACGTTTTTTTTTTGTTATTTATTAAAAAGAAAACTCTATTATAATAATTGAAAAACACATACAAAAAATGTCTATTTAAGATAAAATTCAATTGTTTTGAAATAATTATAGAAGATAATTCATTGGATTTATTTGAATAATTAATCATTTTTAATAGTTTATCATTAAATAGAATTGTTTTGAGAAAAATTCTTCAATTAATTAAGTAGAGAATTAATCTATTTGATCGAATTAATAATATTGATTTAATTAAATATTTTATTTGACTAAGTTTTCATTCATATACCAGTCTATTTATTTATCTAAGAAACATGTAATAAACATGAATAATTTATCGTATTTTCAAAATGAAATAGAAATATTTCTATAATATAATCTGTTAATCATTTGTTTTATCTTAAGAATTCTTCTAGAGTAACTTTTTCATAAGGTAAATATCATCAATTTGAGCAATTTTGTTTATTTCGAATGAATAGAAACTTATGAGAAGACATAAAGACATTGTAGTGTGTTCGTGGAAAAAAAAGATCGATTTTCTCTGTTGAAAATTAACTTAGACGCTTCGAAAAAGTTCACCTATACCTCATTAATGATAATTTTGAGAGAAATTTTTGAAATTAATCGGTAAATATAATGGAAATATTTGATTTAAAATTAATCTTTTAAACAAATAGTAATCTCGTAATAGATTTATAAATATGAATATATTCTTTGTCAAATGACTTTTTCAATAATCATTTATAAAATTTATTTATTCGATTGAAAGATTTCTATTGATCATTTAATTATAAATTAAAAGTTTCTTTTTCTTCTCGATATACTCTACTAAATCAATTTATATTCAAAATAAATCATTTAGGAGGAAATAATATTTTCTAACTGTCAATAATTGACTATTCTCTCGTCTTCTATATTCTTTTATATAAGGTCTTAAATAATGAAATTCTTCAATAGATTCAATTTTGTTATAGATCTTTAAAGATACTTTCTGTAATTATATTTTTTCAATAAAAGAACAAAAAAAAAGAGAGATTGAATGATTAATAATTAAAATAAATAAATTCTATATTGAATCATTTTACAATCAAATAATGAAATTGAATAAAAACGTTTGTTTTTATCTCATATTTTAAGGTAAGTTGAAGTGTTATTAAGAGATGTTCCACGAAAAAATCAAATATTTTCGGATGTCGGAAAACATGGGGATCAACCGATTTTGGATTTGATTCCCTAGGTATTTCAAGTCTTATCTACCATAGATGAATCCAAAATATTATGGTCCAATGCTTTATCTTTGGTATGCTAGGGCTATCCGACCAACGACACCGTCAAAAAACTGTAAAAACTTCACCTATACTTTTTTGAAATTTTCCACTATTCAAATTGAGTCCTATACCAATCGATTGAGCTTCACTTGCTCTAAAAAACTACACATGTGACATTTCTTTTTCATCTCAATTGAAAATCGAAAAACTAGAAATACAGTGTTTGTTTTTCAGCCTAGAAAGTTTCCTTTTCTTCTAGTATCTTGATTAAATGGCTACGTCACAAAGCGATTGTCAATAATATGATTCGTTCATATTGTAGCATGTTCAATTGTGCATATATCATTTTAGTTTATGTCATCAACGATGATTATTACAATGTCTAACCTGAATTTACTCAATAAAGAGGAAGTTGTATCATGTTATAAAAGCTATAATACAAGAGGCAGAAGTATGTATAGTTTCGGAAAGGGTCGTCGAGGTAGACAATAGCTTGATGTGAATCATGCGAAACTGTTTGAACACAGGATAAGGCTGATAATATGAGTTTTGGTAGAAGCATCTAACAGACTCTCAGTTGGTATCGTAGATGCACTTAAATCAATAGATATATTGGTATTCATACTTTGAAAAATGTTTTTAATTATTCATTCGTCTGATGTGTGTGTGTGATAGACTTTCATAAATCTGAGCAATGACACTACAAATATGGTGGATGTGCGTTGTGTTAGGTCGATAGTGTGTGTATCACAAAACATCTGACGCGATGCGTACTGCTCTTGCTAATCATAGATCAAGTAATAAAATTAGGTAAATATTACTGTTTGCAAAATGCGTTGTTGAATAGTTTTAGAAAGAATGAAAAGCGGCATGCTCTAATTGTATCATCAATAAAAATGAAACAGATCAATGAATTGATCTCTGTTTATCTAACAGCAATACAAAAACTATATAATCTTAATTATCATCATACTCAATTAAAATTGATTTCTTCAATTAACAACTAGTGAATTTTGTTTATCTAAATTAGACATGTCCAAAAGTATTTCTTCACATGAAAGAATGATCTATCGACAATATACCTTAGTGCATCATTATCTACTAATCGACAACAATGTTGACTTGAAGAATCGACTGGACATCTACGAAAAACAAAATCTTCTTTTCTCATTTATCTATTCCTTCTCATAATTAAATGAAAAATATAAAACCATTATTGATGCTATCTATACAATTATTAATGTCAGAATAAATAATCTGAAAATATAGTTTGATTGTAAGTTTTTAAATTTAACTAGATTTTATTCATATATTTCATTATCGGAAAGGTTAAAAGAAAACAAAGATAATTATGTGATATGGTGTATCCTTCAAATGTAGCTGTATTGTTATTATATTACTTTTTGTCAAAAGAACTCAATTTCTTCTTATCAGAAGTGAAGAAGCTGCCGTTAAAATGAAAAAAATTCCCTCACTATAAAATTCAATTAAAAATTCTTTTGGAAAATTTTCCTCTGAAAAAGGGAAGATAATGGATACTCCGTAATAAATGACTCATTTTTATTTCCTATCTTTCAAGCATTAAACAATTTATTTTGAATTTAGTTGTTTATGTCATTTAATTAATGGTTCATTCAATGTTATGAGAATCAGCATTCTGCAAGATGAGTCTCACTTGTAACAAAATAATTTTTCATAATGCACCCAAAAATAGTCTCAGGATATTAGTTCGCAATTTTTATTCTTGCTAGCGCACATTAATTGTTTTTTTTTTAAGTGCATAATAGAATGCTAACATGAGTATTAATAATAATTGCTCCATGACCATCAATAGATTCTATAATAAAAGTGAACTTATTGGTTATATTGTTGAAAAACGTGATTTCAAATATATCAGAAAGATCATTGGTAACAAAGCTTGTTTAATTGAACTCAATTTAATATTCATGACAACTAGCATCAAGTGATGGTGATAACACTACATTGATAGGTTATCTTACCTAAAGATGTCATATATCAAGGTCAATTTGAGTTACAGAAAATTATTCGTAGAAAAGAATTTGTTTATTAAGTTTTCTTCGTATATAAAAAAGATATGTCAATGTTATGATATACGTCGATTTACAATAGGAAATGTCATCTAATGATAATCATAATCCATTAATGGAGTATTTAATAGAAATATGTGATAGAAAAAAAAATAAGTAAAAATAATGAATGAATACAAGTACACATGTTTTTTTTTTCGAATAACATAATAAAATTAAGTGTCTATCAGCGTTTTTCTAGTAAAAGCAACGAAATCCCTTGGATATAGTGAAACACAAGTCGTTGAACTAGAAAGAAAAAACAAAGCAGTAACTTAATTAATTTACTTTCAGGTACTTCATTTCATATTATTGAATGTCGCAATGTTCTTAATGCTAATTGGAGTCAAGTAAAAAAATCATTTTCATCAAATCAATATAATCTTCTTCTAAAAAAAATTAACCTAAAGTTCAAATTATTATTATTGTGTTTCTGCATTAGTAATGAAGATGACCTTTAAAGGATGAATCATAGGATAAGCAGTACATATATAATTCGATCAGCTAATATCAAAGATTTTCACAAGAAGGAAACCTATTTTTTTCTTATTAGTTTCATTAACAAAATTATATGGTGTTAAGTATGGTATTCTGAAGACTATTGATGAAATAAATTAGAAAAAACGACGCACTAAAAAACACTATATAGAAGAACATATTTTACAATAAAACGTATTACTATAATGTACTTATTTTACCACAGATATGCTAGGAGCATTGATAATAACATAGGATAATGTAATAGTTAGTTGACATGGAGATTTATTAAATGACAAAAAAACTAGATGCTAAATAGTGAATAGCTTATTGATGATGTCAACAAATCAACAGCATGTTCACTTACATAATGATACGACCTATTAATACAAGTAATGGTATACTTATTAGAAATTATGCTATAAGAAAACAACAAATTAGATAAAATTAAAAAAAAATGATTGCTAACAGTTTTTTTTAATGTCCTCCATTATCAAGCGATTTACAAGTTGAACATGTTCAAAAATAAATTTTGATCGTGCTAAATGACGGAATGTTAAACGCATTGTATTCATATTACAAAAAAATTATTTATTTGTTTCTTTTTTTTTAATATTCGATGTAAAATTCACTCAAGCTACCGATCATAAGAATTTACATTTTCATTTAACGATAACAAAAAGAAACCAATATTTGATATGTATAAGCATCGAATAAAAATGTCATGCTGTTTCATAGGACTATTCATTTTCAATTCCAATATCTGATCTCATCTATTGCTTCCTTACAAATGCAAGTTGAAAATAAATAATATAACGTAGTATTTATTCAAATATATAATTATTGCCGTATATATTAATATAGTTTGTTGGTGACGTACTATTTTATATATTCCATGTTTACGAAATTTCGCCGTATATCAAATACCATTAAATGCATCAGATTCATTATTTCGATCAGTAGGAAACGGTGGGAGTCAGTAACTACTACAGTTTTCTTTTTTGCTATCTATATTCA